AATGACGTTCATACAAGGTGTGAGCCGAAAGTATCTAAAAAAAAAATTTTCGAAAAAATTAATTATTCTTTTACGAGACTGCTTGGGTTAATTTCTCTATTTTTTTTGACCTAAATATCGCAACAAGTGAAATAATAGCCGAGGGTAAAGTCTAGGGTACTTTTAAAACCATGTTGGAACTTTCGATGTCTCTACCCTGTTATTTGAATACTTGAAATAATCCGATGGGCATTCTGATCATTCCATACGGAATTAAGTTAATGGAGATATGTACTACGAATTAAGCACGTAACGTTAAATAAAAGTAATATATATATATATATATATATATATATATATATACACGCGCGCGCGTAATATGTGACACGCGTATGAAAGTGCGTTAATGTGCGTAATTAAATTCGATTTGACGTATGGCTCCGAGTAATACACCGAGGCGCATGCGCGGTGCTCACTTATTCGCGCCCGAACTCCCTTGATCGACGCAGCACGTGGTCGCTGTTCTGTGATCTCTTTCTATCTCTTTCTTACTCCTCACCCTCTCCCTCTCTCGCTCTCTCTTTCTTTATCTCTCTATCTATATATCTATCTGTCTCCTCCTCTGTCTGACTCTTTTTCTCACCATCTTTTCTCAATGTCCCTTTAAAATCATCTCAAAAGCTTTCTCATCAGAACGATTATAGATAAACGAATCCCATCTAGCTGGCCAAAATAATTTTGTCTAGCTTATAAATTTTGCTTTATAAATGTCCTTCATTTTCCTCTATATATAATAATTATCTCCTATATAATATACCCAAAATAACATTTTTAAAAGTTAATTAAGAGTTCTTATTAAAAAATCTATCTTACGGTTGAATGTTAATTCATTATACAATTATAACGGGGTCACATTTATTGTAAATATAACTACATATCTCTTAATTATAACCCTTATTCCATATTTGTAATTGAATGCATTTTCTCTTATTAATAATACTTTCTTCTAATTAATTAGTGAGTTTGATGTATTAGAAAGGATTAAAAGAAAAAAAAGAGAGAGGGAGAAAAAGAAAAGAAAGAAAAGAAGTTGCAGGAAGATAAAAATAGTGGATAATTTTAAATTTACGTATTTGATTTGTCAAAAGGACGATAAAAAATATTTTTCTTAAAGGAATCATTAGATAGATATTTTATCGGTCAACAAGCTAATATAATAGGTATTTTCTATTTTGAAATCATATTGTACAATTCATTGACGATTTTCGCATGATACATACTAACACACACACACAAGTATATGCGAATTACGATAGTAAAAATTAATTGAGGTAAAAGTAAAAACAAAAACAAATGATAAATCTCTATTCTAAGTAATAATGTCATTTATAAATCTCTCTGCTGCGCGATAATTGTCAAAGTTTAATCTTATTAATTATTTCAAAGATATATATATATATATATATATATATATATATATATATATATGTATGTATGTAGATGTAAATTAACACTTTGCGGTATTCATCAACGGAATCTTGTGGCTTAGCAGCGTAGACTTTATCAATAAACAAATGCATTTTTGATAGTATATATCTATCTGGTAACGTCATAAAAGATGGGCAACTTTAAATTGTAAAGAAAAAATTATTTCTGCTACGACGTAATATTAAAAATTGATAAATATTAAACTCTATTAAACGCTATGAAACTCGAATTAAAGAATAATGTACAGAAAAATCGATTAGTCAAATTTTAAAGTCCTATGAAGAAATATATATATATATACTTAAATAATATTTAAAATGTCATTAACTATCGGTTTCATCATGTTGAAATAATCGAAAAGACATTATATTATTAAAAAATCAATTATATATGTATATGACTTGTGTCAGTTAGAAATAGATCATTATCGTTGACTGCCTGAGAAAGTAAAGAATATATGTAAAAAAAGAAAAAAAAAAATAATAATAATAATAATAATAATTTGAGACGATAAAGAAAATCGTCAAGATTAGGATAAAAAAAAATTTATTCATTTATTTTTTTCTCCTATATCAGCATTCATACAATCAGAAAAAGGTATCGAAAAATATGTTGTTAACAGGAGTATTGAAAATAAGGATCACGTTTAGATCGCGAACCATAATGTTAAGGAAAGTATTTGATTAGAAAGATAAGATTATATATAATATCGCGGATATACTTTCGGACGCAATAGATTATATACGAGTATATACTCCATTGCAAATCCCAAATTCCCAATAAAAAGAGAATTAAGAAAAAAACATATATAACACATATATATATATAATATATATGTATATATATGTATGTATATATGTATAAGAGTAAAACTCGTGAGTGGTAAGTTTAAGAGTATCGGTATCATAACTTTCGCCGTGGTATAAACTTTTGAACGTGCGCGTGTGTAAAGTTACACGTTATGCGTTGCTGATGAATCCAGTGTTGGTTGAGGCCACGTAAATAATTAAATCGTACGACCGATCGAGTTTCG